GGGGCCAGGCCGCGGTGGCGGCCGATGGGTGAGGCTAGAAGGGCAGCAGCACCACACCGGTCATGGTAGCGGTGGCTGGAGCCAAGCCTCAACCCCCCCGAGACCTCTTCGTGGATGTGAGCCTTGTGGTCGTCTGGGGCGTCACCCGGGGGGTCGTGCGCCCGCGGGACGCCACAGCAGCCACGGGCGTGCCGAGAGAGAACGGGCAGGGAGAGGCCCGGGGCACGCGCGTNACCCCCCCGAGACCTCTTCGTGGATGTGAGCCTTGTGGTCGTCTGGGGCGTCACCCGGGGGGTCGTGCGCCCGCGGGACGCCACNCGGAATGCCGCTCGGGTGGCGGCAGCCGCGGTGGCGGCGGTAGCCAGCGAGGGGGTAGACCGCCGCCGGGGCCAGGCCGCGGTGGCGGCCGATGGGTGAGGCTAGAAGGGCAGCAGCACCACACCGGTCATGGTAGCGGTGGCTGGAGCCAAGCCTCAACCCCCCCGAGACCTCTTCGTGGATGTGAGCCTTGTGGTCGTCTGGGGCGTCACCCGGGGGGTCGTGCGCCCGCGGGACGCCACAGCAGCCACGGGCGTGCCGAGAGAGAACGGGCAGGGAGAGGCCCGGGGCACGCGCGTTCTGGCCACGGAAGAGAGCAGGCGTACGTTGTGTACTACGCCCACGATGATGGTGGCTACTACGAATATTACGGCGACTACGACGACGGCTACTACTACGAAGACGGCTACCACGACGCTGGGTACGCCCACTATGCCGGCGGTTGGGACAGCTGCAGCTACCCCTCAGGGTACGAAGACAGCCGTTCATCTGACGGCGGCATCCACTACGTGTACTACCCTCCTGCCGGCGAAAATTCGTCATCCGAGCAGCAACGTCAGCCCCTCCCCGCGAGCAGCAGCACCATCGCTTCCTCCTCGTCCTCTACTCCTTCTCCTGGAGCGCCTCCATCTTCGGGCTACCTCCACCTCTGCACGGCACAATCGGTGCCCATGGGCAAGTCTCACCCTGAAGGTTTTTTCAGTAGGATAGGAGTGACGATTGGAGTAGAGTCTGCTGCGTCTGCTTCGTCTTTGCTGAGTGTGGAATCTGGTGA